ATTATGAGCAAAATCGATTTTTCGACCGTGGCCACGATTTCTTTGATTTTTAGTGGCAATTACTCTTAACCTCTTACTAACCGAGCGCGAGGGCCGTAAGTAAAAGTCTGTACACGAGCCAGTGGCCCATCAGGCCGAAACTTATCCCGATTTCAGTAGCATGATGCTTCTAGGAGTATTTCTACTCCCCCCTTGATGGGATGCTAGTCCACGGCAGGGTTGTTCCCAAGATTAAGTTTATCGGTACCCATTTATACACCTGTGTGGAGAGACACTCTGCAAGAGTAAAGTGTCTTGCATTAAAGTTGTCTTGCGCGACGCATTGTCCCCGGCCAGAGGTCTCACCCGGATCCTGCGATGGCTCTTCTAGGGAATATTGGCCCAAGGCCGTGGCAGTATGTACAAAATCGTACCGTCAGCGGCTCGACCACGCTATGTTATAATTAGTAAGTAGTTTATTCCCAGGGGCGGGGTACTGCCTTATATGGGCTATATAGGTATATACGGCCCCAAAGGTTAGGGTTTTTTCCGCCGTTTTGGTCATAGTATCGATTTTAGCCGATTTTGGCCATTTTGGTCATAAATAGGGTATGGTTTTTACACTCTAGCCTTGATATGGGGATGTCTTTGGGAAGAAGCTACTTTTTCATTATTATCGAAAAGAAAATCAACAAAAACCCTTCACAAATTATTTTTACGGTATTTTAACATTGGTCTGAACTAAGGAACTAATTATAACGCAGGTCTGAAACAGGGTTTTGATTTAAGGATCAAGTCGTAAATAGGGTTTTGAATTTTTGATCTAGTCATAAATAGGGTGGGGAATATCGCAGATTTTGGTCATAAATAGGGTAAGGGTTTTGGGAAGCGGGCCACACACCCCCACCCAATTTTTCTTGGGGTACCCCCCCCGGGAGTTTATTATACTACACTGAGGCCTGAATTTCCGAAGACTCTTTTACGCCTGCTTTACACGAGCAATTTTTATGCGACGAATATATTTGATCGTGTAGATGGCACCGCAAATATTTGTCAGCAGTTCAAAGTTTAGTGCGCCAGTAATGACTTTGGACAGCAGAGATACGCAGAAACAAGTTGGTAGTCGCCCAGCAAAACGATGGCGCTTTCGAACATATCTGCAACACATTCCATGAGAGGGATCGTCTACACAAGCAATATTTAGTAAATATATTTGACAACCTTTATTTGTCGCATAAAAGCTAACACACCAGCTTTTCATGAGTATGTTTATCACGTAAAAATTGACTAATTGTCCTCGTCTGCGAGAGCAAATAAGAATTGTCACCAAAAAAAATGGCACACAAAAATTACATAAACCAGGCCTTAGTCGCGTTATAATAGCTATTGCTGTGCATGACCAGAAATCCATGGCGGACCACATCATTGTGAAGTTTCTGTAAAGTTAACAAACGGTCTGGATTCCTTTGAAGTAATTTATTTGCCATTCAAAGTTTCCTTGTTTTGCTTCCAGAAATAGTTAATTCGAGTATCTTTGAAAGTGTCTTGAGGCATTCCAAA